GTGACAGCTGCCCGTCTCTCTGCGCCGTCACCTTTACCTCCCAACATGGCGAGGGAGGCCCAGGAGCGCAGTCTGGCCTCCAAACGACACCTTGAGTCCTGCTTCCCCGGGATTTTGAGAATAATTTAAAAGGTGGATTTTAACGGTCCCGGCTCCAAGGCGAGGAGTCAGCGTCTATTTTTCCGGTCACTCGGCCACATGAAATGTAATGCCTTAAAAAGTCGTCAGTGGCTGCTGCAAAGGACCGCTGCACTCCCCAGTACCGCCTTCTCAAAAAGGCTCCCTCTGTCCCTGGCACCGACTGAGCGCCTCTTTATAAATATTTGGAATAAATGAATAAACTGTTGAAATTCCCCAGAAGGGGAAGGAAACATTTCCGTGAGCAACGCGGGGTAAGCGTGAGTCATCAGGTAAAACTTCTCAGAGACTTGCGCATCTACAAATGGTCGGTAAATATCTAAATCAGGAAATCTCCTCAGAAAGATGGTAAGTCATTTATTTTATTGATAGGTAGAGAAGAACCTGTGTACAGAAAAGAGAATCTCTCAAAATATCAACCAGTTTATCAAAAAGTTAAAGCACAATAAAATGTGGAGGCCATGGACTCCAGCGAAACCCCTTCCTGTGAAACACAATAAAAGCACAAGCGTTAATTCTGATATCTACCCTTGCAAAAAGGATCTGTAAGAAAGAGAAATAAAAAAAGAAATGTAAAATAAAATGAGACTCAGTAACCTGAAGAATGGAAAAGTAAATCAACACCAATATAAAATAAGTATGCCTCTGCGTCTGCTGCTTTCCATGGCCCAAAGCCTTATGAAATATAGCACTGGCTTGGCTCGGATTTGGAAAAACACGGTCTGCCTAAATTATTTATTTTTTTTTATTTTCAAATACAGCTATGCCTAGAAAAATACTTTAAAAATTCAGCAGTTCTGGAAATACGCAAACGAAGAAAAAAGAAGATTGCGCTGAGAAGAATCTCTTTGCCAAGCAGAGAGCGAACGCGGGGCTTGCCAATTGTGTAACGTGTGACTGAAGGCAACAGCACTCGCAGATATTTTAGGGAGCCCCGGCTCATAAACGAGCGGCAACTTGGAGGAATTCCCAGAAAACAAGAAGCGACTGCATGAATATATTGCAGGGCGTTTTAGCGGTGCAAAAGGTGACATCTGAAGAAGAACCAGCTGAAGGTCGCAACAGTGTGTGGCTGCTGCTCACGAGTCTTTGGTAAGAAGCAGCAGGGATTGGGATGGGCTGCACATCTGGAGTTGCACATCTGGAGTCACCACGTACATGGTGCCGGAGCTGCAGCGGCAGCCCCCGCCCGCGGTGGGGCAAATCTACCGTGGCTTCAGCGAGTTGTCACTCAGGCAAGTGCCAGCAAAAGTGGGACTGGAGGAAATCGCTGGTGCTGCCGAGTGCTGTCCCCTGCCTGAGCAGCATCTGCCTGGCCGCTGCCTGCCCGGCCTCCACCAGCACGATGCAGGTTAGAGTAAACGTCCAGGCTTTGGTGGAAACCAAGCCTGTCCCAACCCAGTGGCTCAGCGCTGTCCCACTCGCAAGCAGTTTTTGGTTGTTAGTAAACCAGGAAGGATGGAGACTGCGCAGCTGGCAGGCAGGTACGAAGGGCGGTTTTCTGAGGTTAAAGATATTGGGCCATGGCACGCGTTGTGTCCCAGCTCCTTCCCTGGCTGCTTTTGAGGACGGGGCAGCGAAACCTCTGCCAGGTAGGACTCATGCGGGGGCCCTCCTTCAGCCCTTCCTCCCGCTGCTTCCCCATCTCCCTCACGTTCCTCTTCTGGCTGTGCTGAGCTGCTCCTGTCCCTGCTGTAAATCTACAAACTGCCCGGCACGCTCGACTGACAGCTCAGGGCAGGTTGCCACGTGGCCGCTGCCCTGAGGAAGAGGAGGAGGAATCAGACCTGGTGTCACACTGCTGGCACAGCTCAGCACACAGGCACGGGAGCTGGTGCCATGGCGGGATGCTGTGGTCTCCAGAAAAGGATGAGGCCCCTGTGGCCAACAGGGCTGTGCTGGGATGTCTGCTTGGAGAGAGCCACGCAGGAGGCCAGCATCCACATGGGGCCCCAGCCACAGCGGCAGCTGCCCGGCCATGCGTTCAGGCTGAGTCTGGTTTACATCTGGGCTTTGGGGAAGGAATTTGAAATCTCTCCTGAAGCGCGTAAGCAGCATCTTTCATTTGCCAACACCACAGAGATATTTAGCGGGACCATGGAGAGCTAGTAACTCGCGTCCTTTGCTCGAAGAAGCAAAGCAGAGCAGCATCAGAGGCCTCTTCTCCTCCAAGTTCAGCCAAAAGTGGCCAGTAGGTTCAAAACTCTGTAGGGAGGGACAGATGGATGGACACACACATAAAGCATCTCAGTAGGAAAGCACGGTCCTGCTCAAGGGGGAAATCTGTTCTCCGTGCCCCAGCAGCAGCTGAGCAGTACAGCAGTCTGGGGAAGCGCAGCATCCTCCCGCCCTGCCCATGTCAAACCTCATGAAGCAGAAACGATTTTGCTGCCCAGTGACGCTGCTGTGCCCTTACCAAGGGCCAGGCAGAGCCTGCTCCCCAAAACTCTCGGCTTTATTTTGTTGAGTTTTGCATGGTAGTTTACAAAAGTCCACCAAGAAGAAAATCAGGAGCATTAGATACGCAGGGGAGGGAGGACTGGGAAGAGACAGAAGCAGCCACCCATAAAAATGAGCCCCTTTTTAACTTCTCACCTCTACTAGGAAAGTATCCAAGTATTTCTTAAACGACCCCGATGTTTTTTGCCTCAGCCTCCTTGCCTGGTAAGCCATTTCACATATTTATTATTCTTTGTATGAAATAATACTTCCTGACATCTGTTCCCAGTTTGTTTCTCTTTAATTTCCATTTATAGCACATTTTCCTATCCTCTGACCATGTTAAAATAAAACAATAAGTACGTTTGACACGGTGCAAGTTACTTAAGATCATGATCCTTCCCTGACCTTGATTAATTTATTTTTTTTTTTAAACATGCTCTAAAACACAGAAAAACATTTTAATGAACTTTGGCGGAAAAGCGAGCGGAAAGCTCAGAGAACCGGCAACCACTCAGCATTTCACAGCCATGCTGGCAGCCGGTTACCCGGGGACTCGGTGTGAGGATCAGTCGGTGGTCACAGCCCAGTTCCACTCTGACGCGTGTCAGCTGTGGGCAGATGGGGAAAGCGAGGAGTTGTGGGCTGCGCAGTCCCTCCATGAGACGCAGGGGAGAACCAGGTGCCTGTAAGAGATGAGGTGGCAGTGGGAGAGGCACGGGAAAGGAAATGTTAATTCCCAAAGCAGCGATACAAATTGGCTTGGGTGATGCTTTCCCTTCTGACCAGGCAGATGGGAAAAGGTGCCCTTCCCTTCCTCTGAAGAGAGAGTTTGCTTCCAAGTACAATCTGGCAACGCCACAAGCAATAAATTCACAAGGAGAAGCAATGAGGAGTACTTTAGTTACGGCACGAGAACGTCTTATGTTGTCATCTCTGTCTTGGTACAAGCCCTCAATATAATTTTAGCTCAGGAGGAGTTTGCTTATGGAGCTAAAATAAAATGGAAAGGATCAACGTAGCATCCAAGCAAATGTCCACGCACGCCTTGCCATTAAGCAACAAAGCAGAACAGCGACCTGGTTTCATCTCCAGCTGGTCCGTCACCGTTTTATGGACTCTCGGGCAGTTCTCTGGTGGGAACCATCATGCTCCATACACGCGTTAGCCTGCTCGGAACAGCCCCTCCAGGTCCTCCTGCACTGATAAGGTGGTAAGTGTGGTTATACATCCTGCTGGGATAAAGCTGTCGAGGTTGCACCCCTGAAAGGAAACCCCTGAAACTGAAAACATTTCTGCTCAGGCCTCGTTAGTCGGAAGGGTAGTGCTCTGCAGTCTGGCGCTATGGCAGAGAGATGGGGGTGGTCTCCACAGCCAAGAGGCACAGCAACCTGGGCAGTTCAGATTGCGGTGCCCTCTACGTACCTTACCTGCCTCTAGCAGCTTTCTTCACACAACTATTTTATCGATTCTTTAACCTGCCAGGTTGCCAAGGGCGTTTTCCTTTTACCCAAATTCCACACTGAACATGCACACACTAGAAATCCTGAGGCTTTTTTGAGGTCAAGACAAATATCAGGACAACCAGGACTAAGAGCAGCCAAGTTGAACCGTGCCCTGACAAAGCACCATCCTCTCAATCACACCGTGCCGCTCGGTGCCAGGGCTGCACGAGAGCCAGAAGGCTGATGAAGGTGGACGGTCTTCAGGGTCAGAAAAGGCTTTGAAGGCTCGCCAGCAGGTTGCTGGATCAGGCGCTCAGCTTATGCCGGAGGGCTGCTGCTTTTGGGAAACTGGCACCTGCCACCACCCAAGAGATGCTCCGGATTGTCCCCCTGCAGCGTGGGATTCAATGGGCCACCCAGGTTGGCCACCTCACACCTTTGGGAACTGTTTGTTTAATCCTCAGCAGCACAAAGGCTCGTGATGACAGAAACGTACGTGTTCGTCTCTGCTCCCTGAACTCGCTGCACTTCATCTGCTCTCCCGGGCTTTAAGCTCTAAGTAGGCAGAGTTTGTGCAGGTGGATTTGTCCTGCACAGCCCGTGGTTTGAAAGGATAAACGCAAGTCCCCCCTAGTCTGCCTGTTTCTTCTGCTCATTTCCCCCCTGCCACATACTGGCCAATTTACCTTTGCTGTTCCTCCAGCCCAGTATTTACAGCATCTGGAAGACTCAAAAATTGATTGACGGGGGAAAAAGAGAACAGCTACACTACACTCGAAGGCCTGATTATGCAAAGCTTTCTGCGAACAACGCTGCCGCTGCCTTGCAGAAGGGGACAGAGAAAAGCTTCACAGCGTGACTTAGCCCATACTTGGTTGTGAATGCATTGTGCAGTTAAAACCGGGATTTAACAGTTGTTACCTTTTTTACGTGCAGAAACAGGAATTATGAAAAAGTACCAGGGGCCAATTGTTTTCTGAGTTGCAATTTCTTTATTTGGTTAAGTGGTCTGAGTCAACAAAGTCATGCTCTCCTCTATTTCCGAGAGTTTCTTCAGCATCTGGCTCACCTTGGCCTCATCAAACTCCAGACAGAGAAACTCCGATTCCTACAAAACAAAAGAACAAGAACAACAGTTGAGAAAGATGACAGCTTTTCAGGCGTACGACAGAGGGGGAACGGTGAGTTCTGGTTTCCTGATGATTTGTGTCCCGAGAGCAGTACGCCAGCGGCTGCCAAAGAGGACATAGGAAAGCTGAGCTGTGCCCGCCTTTCCTTTCAACACAGGCATCAGTTGGGGTCTCCCCTTAGCTGCAGACTTTTGCAAAACTTGTAGAAATTTAATTATATCTGAGACTTCCACTTTGCTTTCCAGTCTGGCGATCCCCGAAGCTGTTGCTGTTGCGAGTCTGTACATTGGGAACTGCAAAGTGGTTGAAGCCACCACACAAAGCTCGCCATGTACAAAACCCAGACTTAATATGGGGGAGAACATAAATCTAGAACACAGTCTTGTACAGGACATTCCAGTCTGGAAATTCAGGAGAGTTTTATGTTCTTTTACACATGGCCTCTACTGTCAATATAAACTTAGAAGCAAGTTAAGCAGCAGCACTGATTTGCTCTGAAAAGTCCTGACATCTTAAAAAGTAGTTATTCTCTGGAAAAAAGGATATTGGGATACAGTAAAATGATCTTGTCAAAGGCACAGAAAATAAAGAGTATCTATAAAAAATAAAGAAAAAAATATACATGAAGTTCTAATGATATGGAACTCATCGATAAACCCCAACATTAAAAGGTTCTCCTGAGATCTCCAGTCCATGAGCCTTACCTACTGGTACGGCTATAGTTACAAAATATTTCCTACAGTGATTCTGGCCGAAGAAACGTTTGCGATTGCGGGGAGCGTGACTGTGTACTAAAGGTCATTCCAGGTGAAGCACCATTAGTGACAGAGAAACAAAGGGAAAAAATGTGAAAAATCAAGTGCAGCAAGTATAGAGGGAGGTTTCCTTATGAGACACTGGAATAGTTTTAGCCATCAGAATCAGTGTATACCCACTGAATTTCTGTATGTAACACAGACCCTGTGGTGCTTATAAAAGCAGAAGGGCATCTCCAGGTCTCAGATGTTTTCTACCAGACTAAAATTTCTATCATTATTTCAAAATACGTTTTTTTTCCCATACAATTAGCATCTTCCCAAACCACTAACTACAACTTCACCCTTTACATTTATGGAATTAATATTTAATACACAAAGATAAAATCACAGGACAAATTAAACCCGCCAATTTTTACTGAGTACATTTTAGAACAGCTCCAAGCATTTTCCCCTAGGCATCAGGAATAGTTTTATCTTTTACCCTCTCTTTTTCTCCCAAGGATTCCTGGGTTGCTTCATTTTTTGTAAGAACCAAACCAGCAAGCGAGATGCGAACCAAAACTGCTGACAGAGGCAGTGAGGGGATCATTTTGTGTGCAATTATCACAAAAGGCACTGCCAGAAGAACGCTAAGGGGAAAGAAACAAGGTGCCAGAAGTTGGCGATCGGGAAGCTGAGCCTGTGAAGCACATGGAAAGGTTGTGCCAGACACCGGTCAGACGGGGAACCACCACAGTTCAAGGCAGACATCAAAACGGTGATTTTAAACCTCAAAACTTGATACTTTCTAAGCAAGAAGAACGAGTAAAATGAGAGCAGCACACACTTCAAGCTTTTTTTTTTGTCTTTGAGTATCACTGTCTCTCCCCTAATGATGGTACTTAGGTGCTGGTAGGTCACACTCATTGCATGAGTTAGTCTTAGTGAAATGTTTATTACCTTACCGGCTAACGACCAAATCAGCCAACAGACCAAGGTGCAGTGTTCAAGTTATGCGGTTGCTTCTGATTAGAAAAGGTTTTGTAGAATTAAGGAGAACTTTGACTGAATGAAGTATCACTAAAGTTCAGTCATAGTCATGTAACTAAATATATAACATGTAGAATACACAGCTGACTATGAGGAAAGGCCTTTGCCTGAGCAAGCGATTATGCTCATCAACAGTGTCCTATTGGAAACCATTACTGTAGGTTGTGGGTGGCTTTTTAAAATTAATTGTTCATCTCTATAGTACATTCCAAAACATCACAAAAGTAGCATTAAGCATTGGAGATCAATAACACCAATAGGAAATCTAGGACTTGGAAGCGAGGACTTTCTCGCACCATTTTTTCTTGTCCTTGACAATGGTTATCAACACGTCTTACAGAACATACCTCGTAGAAAATACCTCTGCAAAGCGCAATTACAGCCAAGCATAATTACAGCTGGTCACCGTGCAGAAAGACAGTGTTTGGTGAGGAATTTGACAGCTTAACTCCATTTGGCAGTGGGCTTTCTTGTAGTTTCCTGCCTGATTAGGAGCGCACTGAAAAAAAAATCTGGGTTGGAGCTGCCTGAAGAAGATGTGTTTGCAGAAGATTGCGTAAGAAAGCCTAAACTAAACCCTGAAATTTCCCTCTATGCATTCCTTGATTAGGAAGCACTGGAAAAGTCAAATCTCAAGCAATTCGTTAGTTAATCCCTGAGGCTTTGTGAAGCATCGTGCTGAAACCAGACCATGGACCGTTGCCGGAGTAAACTGGTCTCCACTGAAATGAGCAGAACCGGCCTGCGTCAGCTCAGCCGGTGCAACCGCCGCAAATCAGGACTGCAAAGCCAATGCTTCTTCACCTCCCCCAGCTAAATCCCCCCCAGTTTTAGCATCCTTGTTTTCCCAGACCTGACTGGGGAAAAGTTTTGCGCCCACTTCTATAGAGGAGCTCCTGCAGAAGGTTTTCTCACCAACCTAAAATAAACCCAGTATCTCTAACATGTTACAAGTCTTGCTTCGCAGCCATCTGCAATCAGCTCTTCTCTCTGTAACCTGACCTCTCGTTCCTCAACACATGTTCCATAGCCACCGGCTAATTTCTATCCCAACCTTCTAGGGAACAAGTGGCGGCGCCATGCCACGCAGCCCTGGGTCATAGTCCTCTGCAGGACAAACTCCAAGGCCAAACTCCTGCTGACTTCAGAGGCTTTCCAGCCACCGCTGTGCACCCCAACTCATCAACATCGACTTCCCCAGGTTGGGTCTGCCCATGCAGCCTTTAACCTCTGCATAAACTGATTTTACGGCTTAATCACACGGTGAGTGTGAGCGGACAGGAGAAGACTGAAGCTCTCAGCTCTGGTGGAGATGTTTTTGCCCAAGCCTGAGGCATAAGGAGGATTTTTTTTTCCCTCTTCAGGTTTTGTCAGTTAAAAGGAATGTAAATTGAGCAAAAGGACACTCTTGGATTACACTAAGTCTCCTCGTGCCACTTTATACAAGTGTAAGTGTACTCATAAAGCATACTTTTATCTGTAAAGCAGCTAAGACTTGCCTATGTGGATTGGACGGTATCTAAATAGTTATCACCCTCTCACGTGGGCCAACTGGAAGAACTGGGACAGAGACATGCAGGGTTTGTCTGCTTAGATAATATTTCATATAAAAAGCAGTGGCGTTTTAAAACCCTGCGCAAAGAGAACGCAGGTGATGCTGTGTGCCCATCCTCACCTCCATGGATTTCAGACATGTCCGGAGCAGCGCAGGGTCCACGTCCCATGGGAACAAGCCCACTCACACCTCCTTGATTTGGCGTCCCAGAGGCCACCGACCTACAGTTGCCACTACTACGAGCAGCACTCAGGAGGAGAACTGCTTCAGATCACGTGGAAGTGGAAGAGCAGAAATGCCGCAAACTGGGACCCACAGACTGGGAGTGACCTGAGTGACCAGGAGGGAAGAAGAAACCTCAACACCACCCCACAACAGGCAACCACTAACCAACGCACCAGGCTCATGCATAAAAGCCTTCTCAACTTGGTCAACAGCTGGTTGAATGTGAGCCAGCAGTGTGCCCAGGTGGTCAAGAAGGTCACCAGCATCCTGGCCTGTATCAGGAATCATGTGGCCAGCAGGACTGGGGCAGTGATGGTCCCCCTGTACTCGGCACTGGTGAGGCCCCACCTCGAGTGCTGTGTTCAGTTTTGGGCCCCTCATGACAAGAAAGACATTGAGGTGCTGGAGCGTGTCCAGAGAAGGGCAACGGAGATGGTGAGGGGTCTGGAGGACACGTCTGGTGAGGAGCGGCTGAGGGAACTGGGGATGTTCAGCCTGGAGAAGAGGAGGCTGAGGGGAGACCTTCTCGCTCCCTACAGCTCCCTGAAAGGAGGGGGTAGTGAGGGGGGGTTGGGCTCTTCTCCCAAGTAACAAGCGATAGAATAAGAGGAAACGGCCTCAAGTTGCGCCAGGGGAGGTTTAGGATGGATGTTAGGAAAAATTTATTCACCAAAAAGGTTATCAAGCATTGGAACAGGCTGCCCAGGGAAGGGGTGGAGTCACCATCCCTGGAGGGATTTAAAAGATGGGTAGATGTGGTGCTGAGGACTTAACAGTGTTAAGGTTAACAGTTGGACTCGATGATGTTAAAGGTCCCTTCCAAGCAAAACATTCTACGATTCTAACTTGATGTGGTGCTCTTAAGACCATTAACAGCTCTTTGTAAAGATATTATCTGATCTTGAACTACCAGGAAAGCAAACTTCAGACAGTGAAAAAGCACTAGCTTGTGATGCCTGTGTGCAAACACAGACAGATGGGGACAGACGGGGACTTCTGTGCCCGGGCAGCTGCTTCCCGCAGCAATGGGAGTATCATGGTTTCTTGGGTTTTCAGCCTTTTGGTACAGCCATTTGCTCTGCAGAGGCTGGCATGCAATGTAATTTCATCGCTCTGGAAGGTATTTTATTCTCCTGTCTTAGGTTTTGCAGTAGATTAGGATGTTTTAAAGATTTAGCTGCCCCTCGCGTAAGTGAAAACCGAATCTGTAATGTCACCAGAACCCCAACTTGCCTTCGCACATCCTGGTACCTTACATCGTGATTAAGAACCCACAGTAATTTTCAGCCTTCCCAATTTTTTGGTCAACAAAGACGTTAAGTGGTTTTGGAAAGGACTAGCTGATAAAACAGTTTTGCATCCACAGTTGTGCATTGGCTTGCTAGCAAAGAAACCTTGTTATCCTTATCGA